GGGGGGCTCGAGTCAAAAGACGGGACATTTGCATATCACTGGGAACCGAAGGGCAACTGGGCAAGACGAAGGGGGTTTAGCCTCCATCTTCGTTTCCTTGCTGTTCGCTCCTTCTTCCTTTTGCAACAGTCCCAATGATTTGGAAATACAATCTTAATTAATGTTCGTGATGATATTTCTACAGGATAAATCTGGGCATGTACAACGTAGCATTAGCAGTATTTGGATGCAGTAACATGAATTCTTAATGAAATGGTCTGGAAAGTTTTTTTTTTTATCGAGGATAAGGTTGTAGTTTCTTAATAAAATGAAAAAAGGCACAGAAACATCACTTAAAATAATCTTAGTTATTCGAATTTTTCCATTCGACGTCCCTTACCAGATGTAGATGTCTTGGTTTTTTCGAAGTTTAGGCGTCTACCGGTAAGTGTATATCAATAAGATTTTAGTTCCAAATATGCCATATGTAATATCTGCTTCTTAGGGCAGAAATTCCTCGGATAAATTGCTTTTCATCAGCATACAACTTTAGTCGACCAAAAACAAGTATCTTTTTAATAACAGTTTGGAAATAGATAAATAATAAAGAGGTGGGAGAATGAATGGTCGTAAGACCACGAAATGAGGAAATGAAATAGATAGTGAAACGCATGTTTTTTATAGAAAGTTGAGAAGATGTGAGGAGGACCTGTAGGGAAGCTAAATGTGAACTTGGCTTTCTGTGTTTCATCCCTAAGGTGCAAACACAGACAGTATGCGGTGTGGATTGGGGTGAGAATCGTCAGTGCAGCCAACCTTGTGGAATATTATATCTGATTTTTAAACACTGAATAATACTCCATTTGCAAAAGTACATATAATTCGCCTAAAAGAATAATTTTAAAACAAAATGGGAAATGTGTGTCCCAATTTAACTCTTGAATTGCTGTTAATTGTCCGAATAGGTGTTATGCTTATAAGAGTTTTAAAAGAGTGCTGTACTTCAGACATTTCTATTCACGGTGATTTATGTTCCTGTTATTGCCTTATCGCTGATGACCTCCACACACAAGCAGGGTGATAATCGCGACGAAATAGCTCCAAAAAATGTGCCATCAGCTCCGAAACGACTCATTCGCCGTGCTGTCATCTATTTTTCAATAAATTTTCTTCCTTCTCTGCTTTTCGTCTCTTTCATTTATTGCAGCATTGTAAGTTCTTCTGGACAGTTTAATTTTGTCGTTTACTTTGCCGCAAAATTGACATTTCAGTCGAATCAGACTTGCAGAGAGACAAATATCTTTATTACTTTCTACTGTTTCTATTACTTTTAAAATTCCAAAAATGAGTAATCAACGATGGGTTGCGTGAACGGAGAACTTTCTCATTGCGAACCAAAGGGAGATTAGAGCTGAATTTACATCGAGCGCTGCTTTGTTACCTCATGTGCAATGAGATCTCTTATCGTTTATTTAGCATGCAGGATATTATTGTGCTTATAAGAAATAGTTAAGTTTTTTGGCGGAACACGTGAGTCACGCGCATAGAAAAATCAGGGCCGCGAAATGCTAGCAAAAAGCAGTAACTCATTCATAGTAATAGTACGGACGTAGCATGACATTGATGAGGAGCATTGTTTGGATATGTGAGGAGCTGCTGGAAGCGTAGTGAATCCAGCATTCTGCCCAGAGTGACTCCGACTTCCTTTTCAGGTAAAAGTGGGCAAGCAAACTAGCGAACAGTTCAGGCACAGAGTTACTGCTGGCCAGCATGTTTCCGCATTTTACGTATGTCATTTGTTTAGCATCAGTTCTTTTGGGTTTTTGCAAGTTTGTTTTGTAAGTTCCACCTTTAAGCGAGATCCTAAAAATTGATGGCTCCCGTATAAAACTAGCAATATTTGATTTTCGTATCATTGGTTTACCATTTTTAGCTGCTTATTTATCTCTGTGTTTTGTCGACAAGTTTTGTCTATTTCCGACACAACTGCTGGACAAAACTTCCATTTCGAAACTCCTGCTGGATGACTGCCGTGTTCTTTGTCATTTTTGTACAGGTATATTAACAGTATTAATGAATAAATCGTCATTTAACTAGAACAGATAGATCCATTGAGAATTCATTCTTTTTCTGTCATTTTTGCCTAAAAGTAGGGCAGGACGTTCAAGTCATCTCTTACAGAT